CATTTTATTTTGTCATAGGTTGTTCTTGGTATCAGTTCTTTTTTTATAGAGCCAATGTGTCAGCGCATGGGAGCAAGACTTGTTTGGGCAATGAGCAACTTTATTGTGTTTGCATGCATGATGGGAACTACWATTATCAGTTTAATATCCGTCAGCCAATACTCCAAAGGAATTGAACATATTATTGGGGGAAATTCGACAATAAAAAATGCTGCGTTGGTCGTGTTTGCTCTTCTTGGTTTTCCTCTTGCTGTAAATGTCAAAAGTTTCTCTTTTTAATTTCTCCTCTTTATATCACATCATTGTAATTAAAACTTGCATCATTGTTTCCATTGCAGATAACATATAGTGTTCCMTTCTCTTTGACAGCAGAATTGACTGCTGATTCTGGTGGCGGGCAAGGTTTGGATGGAGTTCATCTAGTATTGTTCTTTTCTGGTGTTTGCAGACTAACTGAATTCTGATTCGTTAGAGACWATGATTTTTACAGGATTGGCTATAGGAGTTCTCAATCTTGCAGTTGTTATTCCCCAGGTACTTACTAGTTACTTTACAAGGAGCACACTATAGCTACTTTTAGAAAAGGAAAACTCTTCTGAAGATGTTTGTTTTAAGGAACCATCCTTTATTTCTTTTCAGACATGCTCACATGCAATATCGATTTAGACTGTTAAAATTACTTCTCCTTTCGACTTTATCTTTCCTGGGTGCATAATAATTTAAGGCGAGTTTGRCATCGTTTTTTGAAGGTTGAAAAGCTTTTTCCAAAATTTTACTTCATTAATGATTAGAAAAGTGTTTTACCTAAAAGCAACCCCAAATGTTATCTCAAATTCATTCTTAATCATCTGCTCTGCTGTTTGTTGTTAGTAAGGTGTTTTTGGTTGTTCTTTCTCTTTCTTTTTGTAGCTTTGAATTTTAATTTTATCACTCATTCAAGCGACAACCATTCTGAATTTATGCTTCAGTATTGATATGATCTATTCCTCCACCTCCATTTTCTCCGTTTTTACCGTGTCGAATGAAACAAACATTTTCATAACTTTAAAGAAGAATATTTTTGTGTGTTCAGATGATTGTGTCTCTGGGTGCGGGGCCATGGGATGCTTTATTCAATGGAGGAAACATTCCTGCGTTTGCTTTGGCTTCTATATGTGCGTTTGCTGCTGGAGTTGTTGCAGTTCTTAGATTGCCTAAACACACCACCAGTTCTTTCAAGTCCACAGGTTTTCATTTTGGTTGAAGACTGCACCGGATTGTTTAAACAAACCCGATCCCGCACACGATTCCAACAAAACAAATTCTTGGAGTTGCTCCTAAAAGCCTGGCTTTCCAGCGCCAATACATAGCGTATATCTTTCTTTAATCTATATATGATATGCTGCATTCAATATTATATTCATATTCATTGATTTTTTTCATTACGAGGGTTTCTTTACCATAGGTAGTGTAAATGTGTATGTTCACTTACTAAGATGAATAAAGTGGGGATAAGTTTCGCTGCCACGTTTTATGTTACTAGTGTATTACCACGTGCAATGCACGTAAAATTTTTTTTTTAATTATAAGGTAACTTAAATTTTATATAATTTTACGTAAAATATTTTAAGTATAATTATTTTTAAAAATAATTAAGATTAATTTTTATATATATTTATTATTATTGACCGCTAATTACTAATAATAAAATGTACTATTTATAATTAATTGTTAATGATATATTTTGTAAATAAATAAATTAAAAGTAAAGGAAAAAATTATATATTAATAAAAAGGTAAATAGGTATTTTAATATTTTTACTTTTAAATTATTTCAACCTAATATGAGTCATTTATTTTATTTTTTTAATATTTTGTCTGTTTATTAAATATTTGTTTAGAGCTGACATTTTGTCATATATGTTGAATTTTTTAACTAAATATAAATTATTTTATTGATTTAATTTTATATTATAATTAAAATTATTAAAGAAAAATTCTTCAAATTATATTATTAGAAAATAAAATGACCAAAAGTTTATATTTCACCTTTTAAGATTCTATACAAATTACTGTTTATAATTGATTTATTAATTAAATATTTTTTTATGTATTGACTTCTATGATTGTTTTTTTTTTCAACAATAAGAACATGAACTTGTAATTATCTATATTTTAAACAAATATTCTAAATAAAATTGCTCAAAAAAGAAACATTCCAAATAAAAAAAGTACACTGAACAATAAAAAAAACATTAGTAACAAAAAGAAAAATCCAAATCCTAAACTAAATAAAATTGCTAAAAAAAAGAAACATTCCAAATAAAAAACACACTAATTAGAAAAATAACAATACTAACAAAAAAAAAAAATCCAAATAACTTACTATACACTCATCTTTTAGAGTAAATATGTTCATTCTTGAAGATTGCTTGACATATACTATTATTTAACTTTGTAAAATTGTGGAATGGTAATGTCACAAACCTAGTATTCGAGATATGTAGATTCAACATATGCCTCCCTTGCAACTTGATGAATATGTCACAAATATCTCGAGATGTTTTCATGATTGAATCATCTTTGAGAGACGTTTGAAGTAACTAAGAATAAAAAAATATTGAAACTTGTGAAAAACATGTAGAAGAAAGCCTATTTTTATAGTAGTAGAGGATAAAACGTTACAAAAGCGTTTCAAATTCTAAAACTCTTTAAATTCTAGTATGAATTTTAATTAAAGAAAAAATTAATTTTTTAAAGAAAAAATTAATTTTATGTTGTTGGAAAATTTTTTGCATTCTAACCTTTTATATTCCATGCATTTATAGTATGAATAATTAATAATTAATTTAATATTTGTAATAATATATTAATGCTATAATTTGTAATTTGTAAATTTAGTAAAGGGCAAAAGTGTCCAAAAATATTTCACCTACCTCCTACCTTTTTAATATAGTATAGATTTTATTTATCCTTTGTAGAAATGAAATATGATTTGTTACATCGGTTCGCCAAATGTGACTAAATTCGGTTTCTTTATTATTTCTTTTCCGTCTTTTGATGTTATTGTATCGTGGACGTTACTACATGGATGCTTGCGACATTTAAAAAGTCTGACAAAATATACTTTTTGTAATATAATATTATAAAATAATCTAAAAGTTTTATTTGGGATCCGATAGAAAATATCACAAATCAAAGTATATTTGCTATTCAAATTAACGAAAGATTGAAAAATGAAATTGATGTGGAAGTTAAAATCCATGGCACAACTGGAAGAGTCGGACCCCACCCCACACACGTTGAGAAAATAACTAAATATATTTATTCTAACTAATGATAGTTGTTACCCAATTAGTAGAGTCGGGCCCCACGAAACAAAGCACCTCTTTTTTTATAGTTGCCAACTCCACTTGTATTTGATAGGCTTTTTGCGAGACTAAATCGCATCTCACTTGCCAAATACAGTCATGATTTCATGTATACCAACATACACGAAGAGGATAATTGCCACAATATTTTTATAAAATATAGATTCTTCATCGTACACATACATGAAGTCTCATAAATTAAGCATAGCTCTTAACATTGAACGCAACATAAAAATCATACTTAAATTACAATTAAAAGTTCAACCAAACATCCTACCCAAGGCATTCAAGAGTCGAACCATTAACCTGAATAGATCCAAAATAAATTATTGGCTCAATCTAAAAGATTCTTTACCAACCTAAATCAATTCCCTAAATATTAAAGAAAGTAAATAAAATTTTCAAATCTTGAAATTTAAGTTAGGAGATAAATGATTCAAAGTGGATATTGAACCAGAAATTTACTCACTTGCTAGATTGGCGGCTGCGTGCGTGAGAGAGAAGGAAAGAATAAAAAAGGACAAAGAAAGAAAGAATAGAAAGCGGGATTGCGAGAGAAAGAAAATTAAAGCAATAATGAAAGTATTCTAAAACCTATTTGTTTAATTAGGGCTCGTTTGGTAACGTTCTTGTTTCTCTGTTTCTTCATTTTTTATAAAGAGAAATAGGATTGTATAGCCCAACACCCATAAATTTAAGGATGATCAACTAATATTTATATTTATGTATTGTAACAAATTGGAAACAGAAACAAGAAACTTGTTTTGATTGCTTTCAAAATTTTTATACAATTTTGAGAATATTTTCAAAAAATAAGAATCAAGAGACGTATTTAGTTGCAAAATGCTTAAGTTTCTTAATAAAATTTTGAAATGAGAACAAGGAATGAGAACGTTACCAAACGAGCCTTTAGATGCCCATTCCTCAAAGTTATCTTGTTTTCCTATTTACCAAAGAGTACACCCATCTTCAATGAGCTCATGACACTTAATTCACCCAGCTCATGACACAAATACAAAACTCATGAAGGTATTGTCTTGCTCCACAATTTCTTATAGCCTATAAATAGGTAATGGTTCATTGTTGACAATGAATTCATATAGAAGAAATCGTAGAAATGCTAGGAAAAAGTTCATGTTCTCCTCTAAATAAGTGAAGAAGGAATTCAAGTGAAATTTCTTTATTTTCTCCCTAATTTTATGCTCTTCTATTTTTGCTCCTCTTCTATTCTCAATTTCACATTTCACATGTTATCAGCACGAGTCTCTACTATTTTTGTCTAACAACTAAATGTAGGTTGCATTATTTTAACTGGTTCTAAAGATACGTTATTTGTTTTGATATTTATTATGATATTAGTAAATTATTTGTTGTTTTACATATTTAATATATATTTGTGAAAAGTTTACCATGATAAAATGACAAAGTTATGACATTAATCGTAAAAACTAATTTTCATAGGTGAAATTCGTGTAAATGCTATGAATTGGGATGATTCATTATTGGGTATATATGTTTGGAGACAAAGTTTGATCAGCACTTGAAGTTGACATAATTTTGAATCAACAAGTGCTTAGTTTGATTGAATGCACCAAAGTTGCCTAACTTAAAATCAACAAGTGATTTTTGAGCACATGTAAAAGAAACACTCATATATGGTATATTCTCCTGAAGTAGCAATATTAAGAAAGATGATATGAAATGCATATTATGAGTTCCTTATCATTTTTTTTTATTACCCAGGAGTAATGGCCCCTTAGCATTTTTGCCCATACCCTGTATGTGCATTGTCTCCATACCCGTACATATGCAAAGGGACAATGCTTTGTGGAGTTGCATTCTTTGTGACTTGAACCAAAAACCTCAATAATATTCCTTAAAGCCCCAAGCCACTCAAGCTATTCCTTGGGGTCTTTTGAAATGAATGATATAAAGAGGCATTAGTCTTGTAAATATCATACATTCAAATTTACAGTTCAACTTTTAAAGTCTCGTTAAAGAAAAAGAGGAAGAACGTTTGGAGGCAAACTTTGCATATATACCAAGACTAAATCTTTTGATCCTCTTAATATGAAGTATTTTGATGTTCCAAATCTCTTTTGAGGAGATAATAGATAATATTGAAGTAGTTTTTAAATCTCCTGAAGAGATGATGAATTCTCCTCAAGAGAGAATGAATAATGAAGATATATGTCTGGTAGATAGTACAATTATGCAGACAATATTGAAAAGTAGAAAATATTTTTTCAAATTGACAATGCTAGAAGCAAAAGTCAATACAATATTAGGTTCTGCAAGCTTGATTTAAGGTTTTGGAAAAGCAAATATTATTTTTCCTAAAGGAACACAATTTATAATTGATAACACATTGTTCTCCAATAAATCAAAGAGAAATCTACTGAGTTTTAAAGATATACGTTGCAATAGTTATCATATTGAGACTGATAATAAGAATAATGCAGAATATCTCTACATTATATGTATTGTCTCACATGAAAAACGTATACTAGAAAAGATGTCTATTTATCTTATGGATTATATATACTCATATATGAGTAATTGAAACATATGCAACAATGAACCTGAAGTTCATGAATCTAGATGATTATAATTTGGCATGACCGACTAGGTAATCCTGAGTTTATAATGATCAGAAGAATTATTGAGAATTCACATGGACATCCATTAAAGAACTAGAAGATTCTTCAAGCTAATGAATTATTATGTGATGTTTACTCTCAAGACAAATTAATCATGAGACGATTACCAGCTAAAGTGGGGACTGAATCACCTATGTTTTTAGAAAGAATTCACGGTGATATATGTGGACCTATTAATCCATCAAACAGACCCTTTAGATATTTTATGGTGTTAAAAGATGCATTTAGTAGATGGTGCTTATTTTTCAGTCGAAACCTTGCATTTGCAAGATTACTTGCTCAAATAATTAAGTTAAGAGCACAATTTCCTGATTATACAATTAAAAGCATTTGTCTTGATAATGCTGTTGAATTGACATCCCAATGATTTAATAATTATTGTATGGTAATTAGGATACGCGTTGAACATCCTGTAGCTCATATTCATACACAAAATGGTTTAGCCAAATCATTTATAAAACGCTTGTAGTTAATTGCCAGACCATTACTTATGAGA